AAGTTGGGTTTCTAACCGGGCTATGGCTTGTGTGTTCGAGTTGAGCACTTGGCCGGTGGTTTGCATGAATGAATTTAGAGTGGTGGATGATTGGGTCAACATGTTGGTAGTTTGTGTAGAAGCTTTGATCATAGCTTCTAAACCCTTTTCTAAGACACTCAAACGTTTGTCATGATCGGAATTTGATTGATTTGTAGGCTGGTGAGGATGAGGATGTTGGTTTGGAAAAGGTGGGTTAGAAAAATTGTTCGGTGCGTTGAATGGGACAGTGTTTCCCCTAGGGAATTGTTGGTTTGACGCGGGAATAAAGTTTTGGTTTCCATGAGAATTTCCTTGGTTCCAAGCAAAATTGGGATGATTTCTCCAACCTGGATTGTAGGTTGGAGAAAATGGATCATTTCTAGGGCGCTGGAATGCAGCGTTCATCTGTTCTAAAGCATGGTTGTTTCCTAGAAGAGGACATTCCTCTGAAACGTGGGTAGGAGACTGACAGTTATGACATCCCGGGGCAGAAATATGATTGATTTGAGCCGGAGCTCGTTCCTTAACTTCTAAGGCTTCTAACCTCCGCATAATCGTCGCCATCTTTGCTTCAGACGCAATGTTTGACTCCAAGGAAAAACCACTAGACTTAGATTGGGAAACAGATGAAACCCTGTCATCACAGTTTTCCCACTGCATTGTTTTCTCGGATAGACTCTCTAGGAATTCCCAAGCTTCATCGGCGTTTTTTCTCATAAAATCTCCCTGACACATCGATTCTAAAGATGTTTTTGAAGAATAGTCCAATCCTTCATATATGACTTGGCACAATCGCCATTTTTCTAGACCGTGATGAGGACATTGGATTAAAAGATCTTTAAAACGGTCAAAGTATTTCCAGAATGGCTCTCCCGGGACAATTTTGAAATTCTGAATGCTGTTCCTAAGCTTTACCGTTTTGTGAATAGGGAAAAATTTCTTGAGAAAAACGGTGACAAATTCCTCCCAAGTTGAGATGGAATTTGTCGGTAAGCTATACAGCCATTTCTTAGCTTTGTCCTTTAGAGCAAATGGAATAAATCTAAGCTTAATCGCATCTTCGGTTAATTCTCTCATTTTTATCATAATACATACTTCCTCAAATTCCGAGATAAATATATATGCATCTTCTGTTTCATTACCTAGGAATTTGGGAAGCATGTTAATGAAATGCGGTCTAAGCTCGAAATTTGCTCCATTTACTTCGGGGAGTCTTATGCAAGATGGAATTACATTTCTGGTGGGGTAACACATATCCTGAAGAACTGGTTGATTTGCCATTTCTTGGATTGGTTCAACACAGATTAAGCGATGAAAATTATCCCGAACCCAAATTTGCATACACCAAAACAATTTTTTTTTTAAGGAAAGAAAGAAAATTAGTTTTTTTTTTTAAGGAAAGAAAGAAAATTATTTTTTTTTAAAGGAAGGAAAGAAAGAAAATTAGTTTTTTTTAAATGAGAAGATAAAGAAAAAGAAAAATCCTAACTAAAACAAATCAAGGCAATCACTTTTCAATCAACTCTAACTCTAGGGTTTAGCCTAACTCCACTAGACCAGCTCCTAACCAAAAAATTCCTACTGTGAAAAGATCAAAGTTTTACCCAGATAGTTAGCCAGGTAAGGATAGTACTAGAGGGTGATAAAAGATCAATTAAGTACCTCTTTCCTTGCGGAGCGCTTTACGCAACCCCTAAACCTTGCCTTAGACACCAACTATTCTAAAAAAACTTAAACCGGTTCACTTAAGGATTTCTTGTTCCTTATTGAGCTCGAATCCTTAGGGGCCAACGTCTAATGAGTTTTAGAAGGCTTGGGCAGTGTAGTGAGGAATTAGTGATTTTTTTGGGCTAAGGAAAGGGTGATGAAATCCCTCACCTTATCTTGATTATGGGGTTTTGCCCTTAAAAATATTTTTAAGTGTGTGTCAAATCAAGATGCTCAAATCACTTGGTGAATTCCTACACTATATGAAATGCAACCCTATGAATTAAAAGCAACTAAAAAGGATGGAAAAGAAAAATCTTTTTTTTAATTAGGGTTAACAATCAAACAAATGAGAAGGGGGGATTTGTTTGAATTTATTATCTTGTTAGTAAATGTCAAAGTGGAGGATGAATTTTATTATGGTCAACAAAAAATAAAATCTCTTCTTTTTTTTTTTAAGTCCTAAACGACAAAGTATGATTTCCTCGCTAAAGATTCACAATCTGCGAGGAACCGTTTTCTCATCAAAAGAATCAATTAGCGAGGAAATAATAGTTTCCTCATTATTAGTTTGGCGGGAAAAAACAAAACCCACCAATTTCAATGGTGACAAATTTAAGGCTTCCTCGCGAAAATTTTTTGTTTTTACGAGGAACCATTTCCTCGTTAAAAAGAATCTATTAGAGAGGAAATTATAGTTTCCTCACTATTAATTTGGCGGAAAAATTTGCAACACCCACCAAATTCATTGATGACAAATTAAAGATTTCCTCGCTAAAATTTTTGTTTAACGAGGAACTGTTTCCTCGTTAAAAAAACCAATTAGCGAGGAAATAATAGTTTCCTCATTATTAGTTTGGCAGAAAAATATGCAAACCCCGTTAATTTCAATAGCAACAAATTTAAGGCTTCCTCGCTAAAAGTTTTTGTTTTACGAGGAACCGTTTTGTCGTCAAAAAGAACCTATTAGTGAGGAAATTATAGTTTCCTCATTATTAATTTGGCGCAAAAATGTGCAACACCCGTCAAATTCATTGACGACAAATTGATGGTTTCCTCACTAATATTTTTTGTTATACGAGGAACCATTTCCTCATTAAAAGAATCAATTAGCAAGGAAATAATAGTTTCCTCATTATTAGTTGGACGAAAAATATGCAAAACCTGCCAAATTCAATGGCGACAAATTTAAGGCTTCCTCGCTAAAAGATTTTGTTTTGCGAGAAATCATTTTCTTGTTAAAAAACCAATCAGTGAGGAAATAATAATATCCTCATTATTCGTTGGCGAAAATTTTGGTGGGAATTTGAGAAAAAAGTAGGCGGGTACTCAAAGAAAAGAGCAGGCCTCTAATATCAATGGCCTAACAAATTTCCATATACAAGTCAACAATCGTGGGCCAATTTAGATTTTTTTTGAACAAATGTCCAGCACGAGGTAAAGCTCCAGTATGGATAGAAATAAGGATTTTGTTTGTCTGGTTGATGGTTCATTTTTATAGGTTTTTGCACAATTCACATAAGATTAACAACCAATTAATATTTATTCAGGTTCAAAGGGATCCCAATTATAAAGGATTGCTCACAAATCTGATAAGATTTCCCCCCCATTTATTTTTACCCCCAAAAAAAGAGGGAAGACATAAAGCCCCGTTCTCTCTATTTCTCTCTCTCACACACACACACATCAAAACCCCCAAACTCGATGCGTCGATGATCCTTCCCTTTCTCCCCCCCAAATCAGACCTCGCTGCCGATGCCGGAGGTCGTCACAGCCGCTAGAGGTCGCCGCCTCCGTCAAAGGTCACTGTCGCCGTCAGGGCTCGTCAATCTTGCAATTTGCCGTCGGATCACCCTCAAAAAACCCTAATTGTTCCTCCCCAAATCGGACCCCGCCGCCTCTCCTGTCTCGTTTCAAAAATCCTAATACCATCATCAAAGAAATGTGCTTCCCCTTCAACCTTACCAAGCTTTGCCCTCAACTCTAGGTCCATCGTTTTCCCTAGAACTTCTGCGTTTAAAACCCAGGTAATTATACTTTAATATTTTCTCTAAGAAACAGTAGTCTGTCATTTGAGAACATTAGTAGAAAATCCTACATTCTATACGGAATATCCTAGACGGAAATTTTTCCGTCTAGTTTGCTATTAAACTAGATAGAAATTTTCGTCTAGGAAAAAATATCCTAGACGGAAATTTCCGTTACAATAGCATCTTAGACGGTTTTAGTGTTTTTATTTTTTATTTTTAAATGGGGCTAACATCCTAAACGGAAATTTCCATCAAGAATGTATCTTAGACAGAAATTTTCGTCTAAGATGGTGGGTCCCATAAGAGGGCGCGTTCCCCTTAAAAATTTTATTCACGAATTTCATTTCCCCGCCTAAATTCTCAATCTCCGGCTCAAACCCTATATAATTTCATTCCCAAATACTAATGATGATTGCCCTCTTCCTTCTATCTCAATCTCCGGCCACTTAAAAAGAGCAAAAAAGAAAGGAAAAGGAAAAAAAAACCCTGATCGACCTTTTGATTCTCCTCCAATGAGATCACAATGGAGAAGATGAAGAAAACGATCGAGGGTGGCGGCAGCGAGCTCTTTATCTGCTTCACCTCCCGCCCCTCCTCTTCCTCCTCCTCCTCCTCCTCCTCCGCCGTTGCCTCCACCATGCGCAATCCCTCGTCAAAGGCCAAATACTCCAAATCCGCCATCACCCCCTCTCGATTCCCCCGATCTAAAAACTCAAACCCCCGCCCGCCTAGAATTTTTCTCCCCCCTCTTTCCCCTCTTCGAAACCCTACACCATCCCCCTCTTCGTCCTCTCCTGCGATCATGTATGGCGTCGACGGGTCCCACCTTCGCCTCCAGCAGCCGGCGGTCGCCGATAGCCCTCAGAACCTCCGCCCCGTCCACAACCGCCTCTTCCCGATGCCCACCGCCGCCGAGGCCAACCTCTACACGTGCTTTCAGGCTCGATCCCTGCTGGCTGATCCCGACAAGCCCAAGGAGCCACAGGTAACTGATCTCTCGTCTCCAATCTCGATTCGGATTGTAGCATGATTAGGATTTAGTAGAAATTGCTTTACAATGGATACTTCAAACCGCTAAAAAAAATCCAAGAAACATTACCATCGATGGTCTTCAAAATGTATGCAAGTTTCTAGAACAGTGGATACATTCAAACCTGCAGTGGCAACTTCGAGGATGCATGTATCAATGTAGTGCACGCATTGCGCGTATTTTGCAGCACATAGCGAAGTGCGACAAAAATGACTGTCGTTGCATTACAGTGAAGAAATGGATGGGTCATTTCGCATCATGTTGCAGAAATTGCTTTGTTTGTGGTCCAATTTATGAGGCAGTTTTCAAGCCAATTTTTTGTAAAAGGAAATCGCCAGTTCTTTTTGATACTGAGACTGATGTTATGCGTCCTACTAAATTTCCAAGAGTTGATGATGGTGGACAATTAGTAGATGTGGTTAGAAGATATGTACATCAATTTCAGGATACTAATGAACAATCAACAGTTAATAATAACCAGCGACGAGGAAATTTGTATTCCGGTACTGAAGTTCCATTGGATCCTCAGATGTCACGTTTTGCTCCCTTTTCAAGCCAACTCACTTCGGAGCAGGTTACAGAAATGAACTGGATGCAGACTCAGGGTATTAATCAGGTTAGTTGATGATTCGCGTGAATTCTGAATTAATGAAAATTTCTTTTTGAGAATTTTGAAATTCTAACTATGTTTTGTTGATTTCTGTGCAGATGGAAGTATATAGAGTTGATGCAGTAGATGGCTCAAATCCTTTTTATAATAGCCATGATACCGATAATTACAGCCAACATGACCATGTTCAGTTATGAATACTTTAGTATTTGACCAAAGTGCATAGGTTAGTTCATGAATTCTTTTTGATTGAGAATGCCCAGGCTAAATATGGATTTGTTTAGAAGTTGTAATTTTACATTAACATTGTAATTCAGATAGTATCATAAACTCATAATTAAAGGTCAGATTTTTTGCAAAACATGTATGCATTAATTAAAATTTCTTTGGAGACATCTGAAGTTCTGACTATATTTGGTTAACTATTTCTCTGCAGAAGGAAACAAATGCAGCTATGTATGCGGATTTTTCTACAGATACGATTCCCTTCCCCAGTGAAAATTCAGTAGAGCTTTCGAATCCTTCTCACGAAAATCATGATACCCATGATTATTATCCTGCAATTGAGCCTGTTGATGTGGATGAGCAGACCTATGAATACTTGCTAGAGGAAATCAGAATATAGGAGACTTTAAAGTCATCCTTAGTATCAAACTCAGCCTCTGCTTTTTGATCAAATTGAACACGGGTCTTTTCTTCAAAGAAATTTTCCTTCATTGCCGCATCAGAAGGATTAATATCTTCAATCATTGAGCCTGCCAGTTCTTGGTTATCACTGCCATTTTGTACATGATCATCGGATAGTAAGTTGATTTCCATCCCAGTTATGTCGTTTTGACAGCTGCTATGCAAATAAACTCCTGACATGTGAGTATAATGATCCATTGCATCTTAATCTAGCTTGCCTCATCCATTTTATAAATTATTACAGAGAAGTGGAAGATTTTGCACGGAGACTGAATTCTGATTGGCCTGAAAGAATGCAAGAAATCCTATCTCTAGGCCAGGATATAAGGCTTGTTTCGAATTTGCTGAATGGGAATAGTTCCCTTAGAAGATACACAGGTTTGCCTTCTCTTCCATTCTCTGTCGTAGCATGCTGAAATTTATTGACAGCCTTTTGCATTACTTAACCTATGAGGTGATCATTTTTTCTCTTGTTATTCTTATGTAGCATATGCATCAGTTCTATTGGAATCTTTTAATATTCTTTATCTATCACATTCAGGATCTCGAACCAAATTGGCATTTGATGCATGATAGGCTTCAAGCTGTCAAAAGCATAGATGAGGTTCTTTCTTTTGAGATTCCTTTGCGCAACCACATATTGTTTGCATTTGTATGCTACTTGATATAAATATATGTCTGCGGTTAATTAATTGTACAATTCTTTTAACTCCGTAATACAGGTCATCCAGTTCCATGATTTCTACCTCTAGAAATGCTTAAAGGAATGCTTGTTTCTCTTGCTGCCGCAAGTTCTGAAGGTCAATTTTTTGTTATTGTTCTGAAGGTCAATTGATTGTACATTTCTGAAGCATTGAATGTTCTTGACTCTTGCAGTTCCGATTGTAAATAAACATATAAATAGAAAATTAGTTATTTATCTATGTTAACAATTTATGTATCGCTCTAGTGTTTTGGTGAATGTATTATTGGAATATAATTGAATTTGATATTGGAATAAAGAGTTGCAAGAACAGCTTCAAGAGACCCAACAACTTGTAGTAACTCAACAACAAAAGATCGATGCACAAAATGAGGTAATACAAAGATTGGAGGAGCAAGCTAAAAAGTTTGAGGAGTTTATGGCTAATTTTTCTAGGCAACATCCATCAGCTTAGTATTCTTAGTAAACTTAAACTTGGAGAAATGTTTCTTTGATCGTGTTGCATTTGTTATTGCTTTAGACTAGCATTGTTACTTATGATAGAAACTTGCTTGCTTTATTTATTTTAATTATTTTGATGTACTGTGGTGACAATTGATGACAATTATTTATATTTTGAGTGTTTTTCTCGTAATAGCATTATTATTGATGAAATAAAATTTCCTCATTATAAGTATACTACTTACGTCGTCAAAAGAATATTTCCTCGTTATAGAGTATACTGCTTACGTCGACAAAAACATATTTTCTCGCTATAGTGATACAACCTATAATGGCAAAAGTAATTTTCCTCGCTATAGACCATATAACCTATATCGACAAATGTAAATTTCCTCGTAATTGAATTTCTTTGGCGAGGAATATGGGGTACAAACTACAACGACAAATTTAAATTTTCTCATCTTTGAGTCCCTTTACTGAGAAACTGTTTTCACGAGAAAAAGATACATATAATGAAGAAAATCAATTTCCTCGTTAAAGATTTACCTTTGGTGAGGAACGGTTTCCTCGTTGAAAGATACTTACAACGACGAAAATAGTTTTTTTATTACTTTTATTATATATAAATTAAATATTATTCACGTATCATTAGCGAGGAAACTATAGTTTAGCGATGAAAAAGGTATGAGATTAGGTGAGGAAAAATATCGAGGCTAAAGAGTAACAACGAGAAAAGAATATATTCATCGCAATAAGGATTTCGCGGGAAATTATAATATTCATCGCAGAAACTTTTCTTGACCACCCTACCGCGAGGAAATGGTGACCAAAGTTTTTTCCTCGCCAATTTCTTGTTCCTTATTGAGCTCGAATCCTTAGGGGCCAACGTCTAATGAGTTTTAGAAGGCTTGGGTTTGTGAAGTGAGGAATTAGTGATTTGTGGGCTAAGGAAATGGTGATGAAATCCCTTACCTTATCTTGATTGGGGTTTTGCCCTTAAGAATGATTTAAGTGTGTGCCAAATCAAGTGCTACAATCACTTTGGTGAATTCCTACACTATATGAAATGCAACCCTAGAAATTAAAAGCGACTAAAAAGGATGGTAAAAAGAAAATCTTTATATATTTTTAATTATGGTAGGGTTAACAATCAAACAACTATGAGAAGGGGGAACATTGTTTGATTTTATTATCTTGTTAGTTAATGTCCAAGTGAAAGGTGGATTTTATTATGGTCAACAAAAATAAAATCTTTTTTTTTAAATCCTAATTGTTTCTAATTGTGAAGCTAGCTAAAGAGGGTGGAATTGAAAACTAGAAAGAAGACTTACCCGAAAGCAATGCTCCAAATTCTTGATCTTCAATCCAAGATTTTCAAGCTCCAAGCGGTTCCTTCACAAGAAAAATACACAAGTTAAAGAATCAAGTTAAAGAATCAAGTTAATAAGCAATAATAAAGAAATTACAAAAAAGAAATAAAAGAGAAAAGAAATACAAACCTTCAAATTGCTCTTCATCTCCATCCTCATCATTCCATAAAGAGGAGAAAGAACAAATTTAAAGAGGAAAAAATTATTTTTATTAATTGCAACTAAAGTTACAATTTTTGGAAGGCCTTCTCAATTAAGAGTAGCCCTCCTCTCCAAAAGGAGTTTACAAAATTTTCACCCTCTAACCCCTCACTCTCTACCCCTATTTATAGTAAACATCAGTGAATGAGAGCCATTGGATTCAAATCTTATCCAAAACCAACAAAAATCAGCCATTGGATTGTAACTGCCTGGACGTCCGTATCGATACCCGCATCGATAGGGGTATCGATGCGGGCATCGATACAGGCATTGATGCGGGCATCGATGCCCCCATCGATGCAGGCATCGATGCCTGCTCTTCTCCTGTTGCTGTCCGCAGAACTCTTGTATTTTGCTTTTGGGCTTGTGTCTTGGGCTTTGGCTTGGACTTTTGGGCTTGGCATTTTCTCTTGATTTTCCATTGGGCTTTGAATTATTTGAAAGAATTCCTTTGGCTTCATGGGCTTCATTTCTTCATTAAATCAAGGGGTTTTTGTTGAGATATTGGAGTTTGAGATTTATTCATCATTAACCTGTAATTAACAGATAAAAGCAATTATTAGTGATATATTTATTCATATAAAATAGATAATGAGGGTATAAAATTGCAATAAAATGTGATTATCAGTTAGAGTTGTGAAAAATTTTGTAACTCCATTTGGAGAGGAGGGCTACTCTTAATTGAGAAGGCCTTCCAAAAATTATAACTTCTTGTTGCAATTAAGTATAATAATTTTTTCTCCACTTTAAATTTTTCTTTTCTCCTCTTTGTTGAATGAGGAGGATGGAGATGAAGAGCAATTTGAAGGTTTGCATTTCTTTTTTTTATTTCTTTTTAGTAATTTCTTTATTATTGCTTATTAGTTAGATTTACATTCATGCTTGTAGTGTAGATTTATTTTCTTGTCTTTTTATTTCTTTTTGCACTTTATTTTGTAGAGTAGATTTATTTTCTTGCATTTAATTTTTACAATTATTTTGTAGTTTAGATTTTAATTCTTTGGTAGTTAGATTTATTTCTTGTTCATAGTTTAGATTTTTCTTTTCTTTTTAATTTTGTAATTAGTCTTCTTTTTCTTGTTTTTATTTCTTAAGATGTGAATTTAATTCTTGTAGGAATCTTAGAATTGTATGAAACTAGTCTAATTTCTTTTATATTGTATGAATTATTCTCTTGTACTTAAAATGTTCATGTTTAGGATAATCAACTAGAGAACTAATCGGTAGAAGAAGAATTTGATAATCTATGCTTATCTTAAATGGTTTGATAGGTTATGCTTATGAATTCTAGGATTACTATCTTATTGTTATTTTTATCAAGAATAGTAATTTTCACTTAGATGATGATTTGATAGGTTATACTTTCCTTAAATGGTTTGATAGTCTATGCTTAATAAATCTAAGTTGAAATATGATAAAAAGAGAATAGTTTGTATTTTATAATTGAGATTAGTTAGTGGATTAAATTCTAGATTTCTCATAGCTTAAATTGAAACCTCCATCTTGACTTTCTTGAATTTTCTTTTCATTTTTTATTTTATTTCTTGATTTTATTCATTCTTCTTTCTTGCCTTGTGATTTTATTTATTCTTTGATTCTTTCTTCTCTCCTCTAAAATTCAATTTTTCGTTACTTGCATATATTCACAACAATCACTCATCACAATCATACTTATTCTTTAATCCAATTTTTGTCACGCACACAACATAAGAACCTATTCTAATAATCTCTTAAAATCACCTTCCTCGTGGGATCGATAACTTTTTATACTATAACTTGATCAATTGTACACTTGCAATTTTGGTACATAATTATGCCGCATCAAGTTTTTGGTGCCGTTATCGGGGAAGATGCTAAAATAGGATTTTATTATTTTGGTTCTTTAACTTGTGTGTTTTTCTTGTGAAGGAACCGCTTGGAGCTTGAAAATCTTGGATTGAAGATCAAGAATTTGGAGCATTACTTTCGGGTAAGTCTTCTTTCTAGCGTTTTTAATTCCACCCTCTTTAGTTAGCTACACAATTAGAGACAATTAGGATTTTAAAAATATATATTTTTGTTGACCATAATAAAATCCATCTTTCACTTGAACATTAACTAACAAGATAATAAACTCAAACAATGTTCCCCCTTCTCATAGTTGTTTGATTTTTAACCCTAATAAAAAATATAAAGATTTTTTTTTATCATCCTTTTTAGTCGCTTTTAATTTCTAGGGTTGCATTTCATATAGTGTAGGAATTCACCAAAGTGATTGTAGCACTTGATTTGGCACACGCTTAAAACATTCTTAAGGGCAAAACCCCTAATCAAGATAAGGTAAGGGATTTCATCACCCTTTCCTTAGCCCACAATTCACTAATTCCTCACTTTACAAACCCAAGCCTTCTAAAACTCATTTGACGTTGTCCCCTAAGGACTCGAGCTCAATAAGGAACAAGAAATCCTTAAGTGAACCGGTTTAACTTTTCTCAGATTAGTTGGTGTCTAAGGTAAGGTTTATGGGTTGCGTAAAGCGCTCCGCAAGGAAAGAGGTACTTAATTGATCTCTGATCACCCTCTAGTACTATTCTTACCTGGCTAACTACCTGGGTAAAACTTTAATCTTTTCATTGTAGGAGTTTTTGGTTAGGAGATGGTCTAGTTGAGTTAGGCTAAACCCTAGAATTAGAGTGATTTAAAAGTGATTGCTTTGATTTATTTTAGTTAAGATTTTTCTTTATCCTTTTCTTCTCATAAAAAAACTAATTTTCTTTCTTTTCTTAAAAAGAAAAAAAAAATTGTTTTGGTGTATGCAAACTTGGGTTCGGGATAATTCTCATCGTTTAATTCGTGTTGAACCAATTCAAGAAATGGCAAATCAACCCGTTCTTCAGGATATGTGTTACCCCACCAGAAATGCAATTCCATCTTGCATAAGACTCCCCGAAGTAAATGGAGCAAATTTCAAGCTTAGAACGCATTATATAAACATGCTTCCTAAATTCCTTGGTAATGAAACAGAAGATGCATATATTTTTATCACGAAATTTGAGAAAGTATGTATTATGATTAAAATGAGAGAATTAACCGAAGATGCAATTAAGCTTAGATTTATTCCATTTGCTCTTAAGGACAAAGCTAAAAAAATGGTTGTACAGCTTACCGACAAATTCCATCTCAACTTAGGAGGAATTTGTCAACTTGGGA